TACCGCTGTCGGCGTCAATCCGTCCCTGGGCGATGATGATATGGGAGTCTTAAGTGACCTGGATGATGTATCATGAGCAGTATGAGACGGTGATGATGCAGATGACGACTCGGGCGCGACAGGGCCCTCTCGCGGGTACTTGACCCACGCCAGGAGCAATCTAGCGGTCGGGAGCACAGACGTGCATACATAGCTGAACTCAGGCGAAGCCATTGATTCTGAGGAGATCTAGAATGAGCTCGGTGAGCGTCGAGGTAGAATTTGCATAACGTGGACGACGCGTATATACGCGTAACGACCTGCCCTAAATTCCTTCGCGCCACCAACTTGGACCGACGCGTTCAGACTTCATAATGATATTCTGGTTACAGTCATTAGTACTAAGTGCCGCAGTACTTACTCGTCCAGCTGCTCGCGCGCATGATGTCCTGAGATGAATGCCAGACACCGACGGGATCCTTTCAAAGACTAGTGGGAGGTTTTTTTCTTTGAAAATCTTGGACTTGTCTCCTCCTCTTCCTCCTCATCGTGCATGCTCCCCATGTCGTCGCTCCATGTAGCCTCGCGGCCGGTTATGGTGCTTACGTTTGCTGGCTGCAGCAAGATGCTCCTTCATGCGATGGGAGTTGGCCGCATACATCCACCCAGGCAAGCACGCGCATATAGCCACTGATCACAAGCGCGTGATTGACGTTGACTCTCGCGCGTTCCTCTGCATAGAGACTCAGGGCACATATGACATGCTTTCGAAGTGCGCAGTTTACACATACGGCTATTCGGCCTCGAGGTCATCGTCAACCCAGTGACTGTGAGTCTGAGTCTCATTTCTTCGCGCTCCTGCCCAGGCGTCTTCGATCTCGAGCCATGCCGCTCGAAGTCCACGGTACCGCAGGTTGGGCACCTGGCAAGGGAGTGGACTCCATCGTCATGAGTACCGCTAGCGACGCCGCTAAATGCAGGCCGAGTTGCGTTCTCTCATGGCTTCTTGGCGCACAGCAGGATGATTTTGGGAGACAGCGGAAGAACTCACCATCTGGATATTATGGACTGAGTGTCTTGCTCGCATGGGTCGTCGGTGTAAGTATGCGCAGCTGAGGGGCCGGCTCGACAGCCATTGTCAACAGGAGAAAGCTTCCCCCTCATCCCCTCCGCCAAGCCGTCGATGGCGAGAATCGCTCAACACGAGTTCAGCGACATTCAGCAAGAGAGCGTTCTGATCCGCGAGCGTAGCCTGATTCGCATACGAGATCATCAAGACATCCAGGAGTTGAACGCAGTTGAGATGGTCGAGGAGTTCGTCTCAAATTCGTCGAGATCTCGCGGGCGTCAAAGGCTATCTACGCGAGGGCTAACCTCCTCTGGGCCAGAACCTTCGCACGCCACGAAGCATCCGACGTCCAAGTTTGAAGTCCGTTCGCGACCACTACGCCGCGTCGACCAGGCCCGGCGCATAAACAAGCTTGACGAGAGGTCCTACGCAGATACATGGTGAGTGGGACCCTCGCGCACTGAACCATGCTCACCCGCTTCGCAGTGTCTCACGCGTGTCAGACGAAAACGCACGAATCATGCGCATCGCGTATGGAAGCCCCTCTGGATCCGAACTCGGATGGAGCTGTGCGAGCTTCCCCCGTGCACTGCGGACATCTGCGAGCAGCGAGCTCAGTCTTCGAGAGCTCCAGATGGAAGCCCGGCCTCGTGGACCAATCGTGGGCGTATTTGGCAGTGCCCGGGCGCGGGCGCACCGGTGCGATTATGCTCGCTGTTCCGGAATCGTATTACATACATACAGCCCGCTGTGGAGTCAGACGGCGACGCAGACCCTGCTGCTGAGAGTTCCCGGCGCAGAAGCACGCTTGCTGTTCCGGGCGAGATAGCTTCGCCGCTGGCTCTGCACAACCCTCCGCGACGGTGCGCTCTCTCCTCCCTGCCACCATCATGTCCCCTCCGCCCTCCGTGTCTGCCGCCTCATCGCGCACCGAGAAGGAAAGCGAGGACGCCAGGTCAGACGGCGGTCGAGGATGGCGGTTCTGGATCATCTTCCTCGCCCTGTGCATGTCGCTATTCCTCACGGCGCTCGATTTGGTATGTCGCCAGTCTCCCGTGGGTCCTCGCGCGTGCTCATGTGTCCCTACTCGCAGGCTTCTGTATCGACCGCGCTGCCGTCTATCATCCATGACCTCAACGGCACGGACTCATTCGTATGGGTGTCCTCCGCGTACAACCTCGCGTGCACCGCGGTCCTGCCACTGAGCGGCAGACTGGCCGACATCTTTGGCCGGCGGGAGGTCCTTCTCGTCTCCATCCTCATCTTCGGAGCGGGGTCCGCCGTGACCGCGGCCGCGCAATCCATGAACATGCTCATCGCCGGCAGAAGTAAGCATCCTTGACACTCGAAACGCATGTCCGCAACTCAATGCGTCGCTTGCAGCTATCCAGGGAGTGGGGTCTGGTGCCATCCAGGTTCTCGTTGCGATCGTGACCGCAGACCTGATCCCGCTGAAGGACCGAGGCTTTTTCCAGTCTCTAACTGGAGCGTAAGTCGTATCTTCCCAGGAACTGTATGTATCACCTCTGACCATGGTGACACACGCGCAGTACGTTCAGCCTTGCCTCAGCAGGGGGGCCCTTTATTGGAGGCGCGATAGCTCAACGTACGACGTGGAGATGGTGAGTACGTTCCTCTACTTGGGCTCCAAGCGTCGTGCACTTGTATCGGGATACTTTGCGAGAATCTGGCTATGACGCACCTCGGAACGTATCGTTCGAGGTCGTTCAGCTCTTCTGACGTACCGTGAGCTTGACTGGTCCACATCCGCCTGGCCGGACGTCGAGCAGGACCAGACAAAGGCTCGTTCGGTCTTATACGGGCCACACTCGCGGCCGTCCTTTCCCCACGACGTGCGAAGGCTCTAAGTATATGCTCCTAGACTGCGAGGCTTCTCCAGTTCCTGTATGATCTTCTACGCTCGGAATAAACTGACGTTCCTCTTTCCCTCCAAGGTTATTCTGTACGCGTCCTATTCCCAGGGGAGCGGGCGTGCCTTCTGACTTCCCACAGACCTGAACCTTCCACTCTGCGGGATCGCATTCGCCGTGTGCCTCGTCTTCCTCCGCCTTCGCAAGCCGCCAATCGAGAGCTATTCCAAGGCGTTCTTCGCGATTGATTGGATGTACGGCCCCCCGCTCTTCATAGCGGATGCCGGATTGATTGCTGATAGCCTCGCGATGACAGCGGGAACGCAATCATCATCGGAAGCGCAACATCGTGCATTCTTGCGCTCACCTGGGCAGGCATCCAGTACCCGTGGTCCTCGCCACAGGTGATTGTGCCGCTAGTAATTGGCCTGGTAGGATTTGGGGCGGCGCTGGTGTACGACAGGTACTACGCGTCTCACCCGGTTGTGCCCGCTATCATCATCAACAACCGCACCAGTCTGGGAGGGTGAGTTATCACTATTGCAGGGAGCATGTCCTTCCTGACATGAATTGCCTCATAGGTACATCGCATCCTTCCTGCATGGCTTGGTAGTCAACAGCGTTGCTTGTGAGTTCTATCACTGTTCATTGTTGATGAGCATACAAGACTAATATATAAACCTAGTCTACTTGTGAGTGCTCACACAGGACACACTGGCGACTATGTTATAACACAGTGCAGGCCGACGTATTTCCAGGCCGCGAAGATCGCCACGCCCCTCCTATCCGGTCTGTACCTCTTCCCGTCCGCAATCACCATCTCGCCGTCCGCCATCGCACAAGGCATCATCATCAGCAAGACCGGGAAGTACCGTGTCATAGTGCGTGTCCTCTGTTCGTCGATGGCCCCCAGGTTCGTCTCATGCTCCCCACAGCAAGTGATCGGCTGGTGCGCGATGCTCCTCGGCGTCGGGCTGCTGACGATCCTAGACGAGAATACGTCCGTAGCGATCTCGATCCCGTTCCAGATCATCGCAGCAGTCGGGTTCGGCTTCCTCTACGCCACGACCTTCTCCGTCCTCGCACCGCTCGACCCCACCCAGAACGCCGCGGCACTCTCCTTCCTCCTCTTCGTCCGCACGCTCTCATCCGTAAGCCCCGTCGCTCCTCCTCCTCCTCCGCGGCCCGCCACACCCTCACTGACACCCACACACAGGCATGGGCCATCTCCATCTCCGCCACCATCCTCCAGAACCAGCTCCGCACGCACCTCCCGCCCGCCTTCCTCGCGCAGATCCCGCCGGGGCACGACATCGCCTACAGCGCCATCCCCATCATCCCCACCCTCGCACAGCCGCTCCAGGCCGAGGTCCGCGCCGCCTTCGCAGACAGCATCCGCCTCATCTGGCACGTCCTCCTCGCCTTCGCCGCCGCCGGCCTCCTCAGCGTCCTCCTCCAGAAGGACGTCGCCCTGCACTCGAAGATGGACAGGCGCTGGGGGATGAAGGAGCACAAGAAGGGCGGGGCGGGGGCCGCCGAGGAGGGCGTCCCGAGCCGCGAGACGGATACGGACACGGACACGGAGAAGCCCGTCGTCGTGGACGTCGCTGAGGGCCAGCTCGGCGGGGAGGTGCAGGTGCTTCCCGGCGACGCACTGCAGCCCCAGCGAGACTAGATGGGATCTTTCTGCACGGCTTGTCCCGTTCTCTCCCCTTTTCTTTCGCTGACTGACTGTATCATTGACTCTCGTATGTATCTTGAGCTCCTCTTCGCTCGTCCCATTGTACGTGTAGATATGACCACCTTCTTTTGTACCGGCGATGTATGTAATTATAGAAGTCCCAGGATGCCTCAGGCTCACTTTCGATAGTATTGTTCGAGGCCCGAGCGAACTATCTCTCGTTACCAGACTGGGTGAAAACGACTTCAATTCCGCATTGTGACATATGGACACCGTACGTGACTTACTACAATGATCCCGGAGAATTTGCTGGAAGCGTCAGCATCTAAATCGGACTGTCAACTCGCTGAAAAAGATCAATCACGACGAACCACACCAAAACGGCAATTGCATCCCTGGACGACCAACCTGGGAGTCGAACCCAGAATCTTCAGCTGATTCCATACCGGAAACTGACGCCTTAACCATTAGGCCAGCCGGCCGATACAATCGTAACTTAATGATTGTACCTGAGCTGCCTTATAGATGCTATGTCGAGATGAGAAATACTCTTGGCTTCTCGAGTCTCGTGCTCGACATTTCAGCTTTCCACCACCATGATCCATCTACAGTGTAAGGTCCTCTCAGTGCTCACGGACACGCAGACAAGGAATACTGACAATACCTAGGTGGAAATCTGTGCCGCCTCAGATCGCGTCCATCTGTCAAGACAACGTACGATCTAGGCGGCAATCCTGCGCAGTGCGACTCGGACCCATGGTCCATCCTGGTCCATCCCACGCGGATAACCCCAGAGACCTGGCGAGCGACCGCCCTTGATCCCAGTGATCCCAGCCTCCCGGTTCTCAGCAATTCCCGACTCCACTCCAGAGAGTTCTCGGTCTGATGCAAGTAATCAGGCTGCGAGACGACGGACCGGGAAACGCCTCCGACCCGGCAGCTTTGGAGACGCCATCGCTATCTACGGTTCTGTCGACCACGCATCGCATCGCCTGCGCCCTGATGTGCTGCTTCTCACAGTCATTGTCCGCGCCGGTCGCCTATGCCATTCCCTCTAATACTCCGTGGTCGGACGAAGTCTCCTGCCCCCACCCTGCGTGACGCGAAACTCCTGTCAGGCCCTACAGTTCACAGGCGGTTCCCGCCATGATCAGCCTGGTCCTCTTTGTGCTCGCGATCATCCCCCTCGTCATCCTCTTTCCCCATGTCAGGAAGCGCATCAAACAAAGCACGCTGAGAAATGTACCAGGGCCGGCGTCAGAGTCTTTCTGGGCAGGTACGTCGAACCCTACTCTCTGTTTGCACGGAGGGCCGTCAGCTGATGGGTGTGGGTTTGCATGTAGGTGCTACTCGGCGCATGCACGGCCCTTTGTGCGTACCCTTTCGCGAGCAGACGCTGACGTCCTATGGGCGTGCAATCAATATTCCGACGAGGCTTGGGGTATGTAGGTCGCAATCCAGGACGTGCATCCGCGAAAAAAAATTGTTGGTGGAAGGAATGTGGTTGTCCATGCTGGCTTAAGTTTCCTTGTTTTTCCGGGGGCTTAGGACCCCAAACAGTGAAAGTTGAGCTTGTCCTAAGACTTCCCATCCCTTTCGTTACCTCGGTTTTTTTGCCAGTGCACGTCGTGGAACTCATAGGTGTTCACCGCTCAGCTGATTTTCTGGCGTAACACAGGACCTCGACTTGGCAGTGTCAGACCCGGTCGCCTTGTCGGCGATGTTCACTACCTACCGGGAGGCTTACGACTTACCAAGATGGAACTCAGAGTGCGTTTCTTTCCTTGTGTTGCGCAATCCGGAGTGCCTAGGACGTACGATTACCGAGGGAGTCTGTCGGGATCTGCCCGCCACCTCCTGCCTTGTCATGCACAGCGCCGTAGTATCACAGCCAGTAACGCGTCGCTCCTCCCACCCTCAGTGCACGTTTCTTAATCAGTACCATCCTGAGCTTGGCCACAACGCTCGTACCGACAACGGATTACAGTGTCCCACGAGCCGAAAAGCGATCATGTATCGCTTAGCTGACGGCTGTTCAGGTTCTATCAGGAGATCAACTCCCAATTGGCCTGAAGCCTGCATACCGCCTTGTGTGCATACGTGCCGAGTTACTAGGCACTTCTGCAGGCTGCAGGTCGACTTGGGGGTTACATATAGCCGGACCGGGGCTACTCAGCTTGCGGAAGCACGTCGCGGTGGTCAGCGGGATCGCTTGGGGAGGAGGTACTGTAGGGTGTTGGGTCATAAGAGCCCTCGTATCGATGATAACCCGCGGCCAACACATCAGACCATGGCGGCGGCGGCCGAGCACGCCCCAGAAAGATGGGTTGGGGCATCACAGAATGTTCCTGCAGGCTGCTTGCGTATAGCTCGTCCGACAACAAACTTTCATTCTCGGAGTGCTCATATCAGTTAGCTCACATCCTCTCCAGCACGATGCGATCTGTATTTGGGCCCGGCTTGACTTCCGTGCGAGGTTCGTGTCCGTTGAATCCATGACACTCATTGAACTGACCCGGCGGTGGTCCAGGCAAGGAGCATATCAGACACCGGAAGCAACTCAACCCTGTGTTTTCTGTTCGGTATCTCAAAGAAATGGTGCCCACGTTCAACCGCGTCGCTCAAGAGGTTCGTCTCGCACCGTGCTATGCCAGAACAGTGAGGCTTACTGGGAAGCTTTTGTCGCAGCTCATAGGCGTCCTCAGAGAGAAGACCACGGCACCACGTACCGAGATCGACGTGTCCCAGTACTTCAGCCGGTACACGCTCGAGAGCGTAGGTCGTGCGGCGCTCGGGACGTCCTTCGGCTCATTGGGAGCAGAGGACGGCACAGACTACAGCCGCGCGCTCAAGGAGTTTGGGTAGGTCATATTCACGCCCATGTCGTGACCACAGAGCGCGCTGACACGTTTGCAGTCCGACAATCGTGAAACTGCATCCCTGGCGCCCGTTGCTGCCTTGGCTGCGGCGGACGTTCCCATTGTCGTTCCTCCAGTGGGCAACCGGCGTCCTCCCGTGGCCTGCGCTGCGCCACATGCGCGCGATATCTGACAGCGTGTATTCAACCTCGCAGCAGGTGCTGCGCCGGAAGAAGGATATGCTCAAGCACGGCGGCGATTCGCTCGCGCGGGAAGTCGGAGAGGGGAAGGATCTCATGAGCGTGCTCTGTGAGTAACTCTGCCTTGGTCTGCTCGGAGAACAGTCCCTGATGGAGCGCCTGCAGTGCAACAGAACATGCTCTCTAGTCCGGACGCGATGTCCGAGGATGACATGATCGGCCACATGTCGTATGTCCCACTCCTTTAACCAGACGTTTCTGATGCTGAGCGACCTCGTACGCCAGCCTTCTCCTCCTCGCTGCCACCGACACGACGTCGACTTCGATCACACGCGCAATTGAGGTACTGGCACAGCACCCGGAAGCTCAGGCAAAGCTTCGACAGGAGCTGCTCGACGCCACAGCAGGCACGGGACGCACGTTGGCAGATTTTGACTACGACACCTACACGAACCTCCCATACCTCGAAGCCGTCGTGCGCGAGACCGTCCGGATGTACCCCTCCTTCCACCTCTCCCCAAGAGTGTACGTCTCTGTCTCTCCCTCTGCTTACAGGCGCTGATGACGTCTACAGGGCGGAACAAGACACGGTCCTCCCTCTCGGCACCCCAATTCAGGGCACTGACGGACGGACGATCACCGAGCTTGTCGTTCCGGCGCACACAATGGTGTGGGTGAACATCCTCGGCCTGAATCGCGACAAGGCGATCTGGGGACCGGATGCGCACGAGTGGAAGCCTGAGCGGTGGCTCGGGCAGCTCCCGGCGAGCGTGGCTGATGCGCACATACCGAACGTGTTCTCGAATACGTGAGTGATTCCCGCCTGGGCCGATGTGCGTCCACTCAATCTGACATGGGGTATCGTTAGGATGACCTTCGTTGCCGGACCGCGCTCTTGCATGTGAGTTCTGTCTAACCCTCAACGCACGAACTCCTCCTGACCGCCTTGACAGTGGATACAACATGGCGTTGACAGAGATGAGTGCGTCTTCCACCCGACCGCCCTTCTATAGTTGTTGCTCATCTCATTTCTTCTCCCAGGAATCGCGCTCGCGCACCTCGTGCTTGCGTTTGAGTTCGCCCCGTCTGACAAGGAGATCATCTGGAGGCTCGGTGGAGTCGTGTCGCCGTCAGTCAAGGGCTCGACTTCCAAGAAACCGGAGTTTCCCGTCGTCATCTCTCGCGTGTAATCTCTGTACAGCCCGACTGCTGTTGAATATAATTCGGCCTAGTGCCTAAACGGACGAGCAGGACCAATAACTTTCGGCAGGGTGGTGCTCTTCATAGCATTGGTGTGCTAGTCATAACCTAGGTAACGGGCTGCCACATGTTGACAGCTTCGTGCAGATCCCAGGCTGGTCTTACTTTGTCACAGCCCAGCTCAATACCTACCTGACCGTCGTCAAACGTCCGTCGTCCGTCAAGTGACTCTCTCTACCCATGGCACCAGAGTTCTTGCTCATGAATTATCCCCGGGAACATCGACATCACTCGGCTCGTCCTTGTCGAGGTCTATAGCTCAGTGTGACGATGGCCTTAGGGTCGACCTCTCCTGGAGCGAAAGCTGCGCGGCCGCCCAAGCAATCCCTTGATCAATGTTGCGGACTGCGCGATCCGTCACTCGGATACGTCGGAAGCACACTACTTCGACAAAGGTCTTGGGGTGTCGCAGCCGAGGTCCCTCTACTCTGGTTCCTACCTCCATGTGCCAGTGGGCATGCGACTATGGCTGAGCTCGATATCGCCACCGGAGAGCTCAACATTGCTACCGGAGAGCTGGTTGGTACGTGGCTACAGCTGCTTGCCACAGGTCAGTGACGTTATTCGCGCTCAGACCGGTCACTATGCCCTGATCCTGCGCTACTATCCTTACAGGAGCGTACTTGATGTATGTTCCGCAATGCGCGACCGTCTTGTGGCGAGACTGGAAGGCTGGATCCTCACCGCCATGGCTACCTGTTGCCTGTGCTCTGATATTCATTCTTACGATGAGCGTACGTCCCGCATGAGAAAACGGTTCTCGGAATGCTGACCTGTTTGAGCAGGACCTCGCACTTGGGCTTGTCCGCGCATACCAGGCGTTCCATGTCAAGCCGGGTGAGCGTGCGGACCCGCTCACCTATTACCTGGATGCAAGGACGGCCCTAGACATATGCAAGAATGTTGCTGATGTCGTTCTTCCCTTGATCCTGGACACTATTATTGTGAGTACACCGGGTGGTTGACCTCATGCTCACCCCGTACCAAACTATTCCAGGTATATCGGACGTATGCAATCTGGGACAAGCGCGTGGCCGTGATCGCACTTCCCGGCTGCCTCGTTCTAGTGAATCTGGGTCAGTCCCTTCGCCGTCCGTCCCACTAGTTCCGCAAGGTATGCTGATCGAGTGCTTGTCAGTTTTCGGAGCTCTCGCTCTGGCCGCT